TTGCAAGGCTCGCTGCTGCGAGGAGTGGACAGTGTGAGCTGGCTCACTGGTGTGGGGTCAGAGAGACACAGCGGAACTCAGCCTGAGCACACACACAAACTCCCAGCCAGGCTGCGGGTGTGTGTGTTTCGGGCTGGGTTTCGCTGTGTCTCGCTGTCTCGCAGACGGCCACTGGGCTCACAGGGAGGGGGAGCGGGGGCAGGAGCTCCAAAAAGCCGTTTAGGACAGAGAGTGAATACACATACTATACAGAGATGCTGTATGAGAAACCAATGTGAGTTTGGAAAATTGCACAATATAAATCTATTTTAGTATACCTGAACAATGAAATTATGATCAGTAGAAAGGCCATGACATGGGAACTTTTAAACCTGTACCAAGCAGAGTCATTGTGGCTGTCAAAGATTGTCAAGAAGGCTATAAAAACATGAAGACATTTTGTTTTTCTTTACTATGTGTATATACTTTATAAAATATTTTATAAATGTTAAAAATGCTTTTCTGTTGCAGGGATGTGAGGATGGTATGACCCTTATAGCCGACAATCCTTTTATCAATAAAAAGGAGCTTTGTCCCTTTGAAAAGGGAATTCGAATCGACTACATCCTGTTCAAGGTGGGTGAAAGCTTTCGGTATTTGTATCACCTCGTGTCTTCAGCAAGATGTTTGAGTCAAAGGATTCATTTGTAATGTGTTTTAATTCCTAAAGCCCATTTCCTCTTTTTTATTCCCAGGGTTCTACCAAAACAGACATTTATTGTGATTACATGTCCACCACCAAAGGCTCCGTCCCAAACCATCCTTTCCCATACTCCGACCATGAGGCTCTGACTGCTGGACTGAGGCTGGAGACACACACTCAGACACGAAGTGACAGGCAACCAAAGATTAAGGACTCTGCTGCAGGTATGTTTATAGCAGAATTAATGACATTCAAAGAAATAATAAATATTTCTATGGCACATGGTTTGCTTTCTTGTACACTACTTTGACAAACAGGGTTGTACAATTCTATTCAAATCAAAGAAATGCACAGAGACACCTTGCAGTCACCTTTAATGTCAACACCTCATAGAGCAGATCTGACAGTGACAGAGCGTTAGACACTGGAAGACACAATCTTGTGTTTGCGAATTGACAAAGACATTTGCTGAGACACCGTAATGACACAGCTATGACCAACTAACTCTGAAGTTCTGTACCCTAAACATTTGTTACCAAATAGAAAGCTGATAATTACATCAGCAAGAGATAACCAGTTACATTCCTTGCAAAGGTGCAGGCCCCTGAAGGCCTCGGTCAGGTTAGGTTTACTCTCTGACAAATAACATGTTTAGTCCTGTCATTGTCTGAAGGAGAGAATGTTTACATTCTTGCTTTATGCAAATTCAGAATTAACAAGGAGGACATCCACTAACATAGCTGATGAAGAGAGACCCAGAATACAGGCCCAAGCTAATCTTGATACAAGAGAGGCCAAATGACTGCTGCCGGTACAGACAGATAAATACCTCTGAACTGAGGCCAGGACATAAGTGGAGAATCAATAGATGGAGCAAACAGTTAAACAATTCGCTTTCAATATCATAGGGATATACTTCTACCATTTTGGAGCCAAGCCACCTCTGTGACCTGTAGTAGTCCCAGAACTGCTCTGAAGCCTCCTGTCTTTAGCTCTTTGACATGCTGTGAATTACTTGAAGTTACAGTAGATTTGCCCCCAATGATCTAATATGTGAAAATCATGCACAGCCTTTTTCTGCTTCACTGTTCAACTGGTATTAAACACACAGATTAAATTGTGTTGAAGTCAACTGTTGCAAAAATTGAATTGCCTCTTTTGTCCATCCTGTCTTCAGGGAAGCTTGCTGCGTTGGTGGACATTGTGACAGAGGCGCGCACTGAAGTCAAAGTGGGCCTGCATTGCGCTGAGGGGATGCGCTACACGGCAACGCGCACCGGAGTGATGGGGTTGGCTCTGCTGGTCCTGGAGCTGGCCATCGCTGCGGTGCCCTGGTTGGCCCTGGGGACAGAACAGCCTTTCCCTCGTACCTCCTTCTACCTGCTGGCTGCTCTGTGCTTTGCCATCCTGCTGACCACCTTCCTGCTGTACATCTTCTACACCATGGAGCTGAAGGCTCTGCAGGGGGCTGAAGACCAGATGAGGCTGGCTGTGGGGAGTCTGCAGGAGAAGCTCAGGGGCTTTCCTCTGGCTCAGCCCCACAACGCCCCGCGGAGGCCCCCAGAGGGTCATGAGCCCAGTGCATTGACCCCGGAGGAATAAAAGAGGAGCTGACTGCGGTCAAAGTGGGCTCTGTAAGAGGAGACTTTGAAGTGAGCTTTAAGATGAATGTTGGAGAAAGTCCTATGAATGTGTTTTATGCTCTTAAGATTTAGATTTGTACTGCAGAATACAAACGTTTTTGAAGGACTTTTCTGAAAGTAGTGCAGGACACATGCTTTTTATACTTTTTATATACTCGTCTTCACCCCTAGATTTCCCTCTTCAGCTAAACAAACACTTCCTGTTACATAACATGACACTTCTGTGCTACTGCTGTTCTTAACGCTCATAACTGTGACCATTTGTGTTTCTTAAGCCGCTTGTCCGACTTGCATTCCACCAACCAGTAGTTTCAGCGGGACCAGATGTTTCTGTTTTTGTTTTCATGCTTCCCTTTTGCGATCTGGACACAATCATAGTGGGTCCAGACTGTTGGCTGATGTACTTACAGAGAGAAACCCTGTGCACTCCACTGCACGGAGACACAGACACTCCTAATGTTGAAGGTCAGTACCTTTTTATTTTGACCAGATTTTTTAGAGCTTCCATAAGCACTTCTATAAAAACTCATGCGCCAGTGAATACTTTTATTTTTAGTATTGTAAGATCTGCATGTCTCATGTTTACTGTATTGCACAGTAAAGTATTTTAATGTTAGAGACCATCTACTCTCCTATTTCCCAAAGTATCGCATTGATAATGCACTGTATGTTTGTGTGTGTATATATACTTTCAAACTTGATCTAATTGGATCACATGAATTACTTTTTAAAAGAAACATCATGTACTCTAGAGAACTATGAATGCTTAATATATCATTAGTGTGCAGTGCACTTAGCTGACTAACCAGATACACTACTTCCTGTTATGTGAAAGTACTTAATGATCCATGCTGCTGTAAAACAGCGTTAAGACTCACCTAACCATAACCGTATTGATAATTTTAACAGTATTCTTACACTCAGTATTGGAAAAGCACAAGTAGTTCTTAATCTCATAAAGGTAATACAATGTAAAGGAAGACATGAAGTTCATTCCAATTGAAAATTGTGATGGACATGATTATGAAAGCAATAATAAAAACTATAAATCCACCCTTCCTGACTGCTGAGGCTCTGGATGAATGGGAATGGCAGTGCATGATGGGTTCTTCACATTCATCACTAGAGGGCATTATTACTTCACGCTAACGGATGGGAGCATTCACCCCAGACCCACACTGACTCTTCAACGGCAGTTGCAAAGATCTCGGAGCATGTGGGATGACAGCCAAATGTACAAAAACATACCAACTGGCACTAAAGAAAAGGCACCCATGGGTGTGGTACACTTAACATGTTTCATTTTTTTTTCCCACAGCAAATCACAAATGCTTTAACTGTCACCATGTTAAAACCTAATTAATCATATTTAGTGCCATTACCTGAAATAAAACAGAAACAGCAATATGTTGGAGCATGCATTTCACACTGAAAAATACAGAACACACATGCTTTGCATGTAGCCTATACTACACCTGATGCAAATTCGTTTTCAGCTTAGTCTAATTTTGTACAAAAATCAATGATTGATTTTTGTAAAAAGGTTTTTTGTAACCGAAAAAGGTGGAAACAATGCAGGCCTGTATTTTAGGAGAACAGCGTTTAAATTAGGAAAATAGAGTAAGACACTTGCCACACAGCTCTTGTGCAACCCTGGCCTTTCTTGTGACATAATGTAACATACAACACTTGTTTATAATGTTTTCCTTTTATGTAAGCTACTGTCTTTAGTATGCATTTTAACTAAAGTCATAATACTCTTTCATGCATGACCTGAACTGAAGTTATAGTAGTTCTACTAATATTGTATTATCTTGTTTCATACCTCTTTAAAAACGTTTCTTGTATTGAAGTGTTTTCTAGTGATGGCATCACATCCATCTCTTGCATTAGTGGTAAGGTGGAATAACATGCACGGGTCAAAGTAAAAGTCCTGCAAAAGTCCTGCATTCAAAATGTTACTCAATTGAAAGTGCAAAAGTATAATCATCAAAATATACTTCAAGTATCAAAAGTAAGAGTAGTCATTATGCAGACTGGTCAATTTCAGAATAATATATGATTTTATAATTATAATAATAGTTTTATAATTATTGATGCATTAACGTGTTATTAAAGCTGGTAAAGGTGCAGCTAGATTTAATGACGTTGTATGATGCAGGGTCGCTTGTGAATTTACTCCAGGTGTAACTAAAGTCTGATTTAAGTGTTGATTATATTTCATCATTCCAAATCTGCATAGTAACTAAAGGATAGGCTACATGTAGTGAAGTAAAAGTAGCCTACACGATTTACCTCTGAATTGTAGTGGAGTAGAAGTACAAAGTAGCAAAAATGGAAATACTTGAGTATATAGGCTACTTTAAAACATTATTACTCAAGGACAATACTTGAGTAAATGTAGGCTAGGCTACTTGGTTACTTCGCACCTCTGGTTGTTACGGCTGCAGAGTAGTAGCCTAACATATTTGTAACCTATAGGCTACATTTAAAATGTATCCTACCCAGCATAAAACCTGGGGGGAAAAGCTAAGTATAAACACCTTAAATTGTACTTGAGTGATGAGTTCCTTTCATTACTTCCAATAACTGTAAGCCTGTGGGGAATAGTGTAGTCAGCTGCACATAATGGCGTGGTATTTGTCAGGACAGGCAGCAGAGAGCGGTGTATTGTTGCTGGATGGGCGCGGTCTGGTGTTCAGGGCAGGGCAAGGTGCACTTTACCTCCGGCAGCCCAGACACTCTGCGGCGGACTGGCTTTCCTCTGGATGTTGTTTAGGCCGACCGGACAGTTTAAAAAATGGCGACTCTGGACCACCTTAAATCGGTTATTTCCATCGGGAATGTGGACCACACGTCGCTGGCTCTGCCGTCCAGTAACCAGTGCCGGTCCGGGCAGCAGCGAGTCCGGGAGCAGGTGGAGACCCTCCGGAGGAGCAAGACCCGGCTGTCCAGTAGCAGGAGCGCTTCCACTTCTCTATCTCCGACATGTAAGAGAGCAGCCAACACACCTGGGCCGATAACAACTCAGTACACAAGGAGAGAATATAGTCTGTCATTAAAAACATCATTTAGACTTTCATGTTAGGAGTTAGATATGGAATTATTCACATAATAGGTCATTACCTTCCCAGTCGTGTTCTTCTGTTCTAATTATAAAGGGAAAATAGAGACAAAGTTCTTAATGAACTGGATTTGATGATAGACCTAAGTTGTTTTCAGGGTAAAGTCCTTTAAGGAACTGAAAAAAACAATATAACATCATTGATAAGAATTACACTATTTGGGGGGTTACTTGTTTGGAGTGCAAATGTTGCGTTCATGGTTTGGATTGTTTGTCTTTTTTGTCAGCATCACAGAATAACTCGATTTGAATATCATGAAACTTGGTGGAACCCTTTAAATTATGGAGCCAATCAAAACCAAGGGGCGCATACTCAACTGAACTGTAAGCTTGAGAATACAGAAGTTTATAATTAACAACTCCTATTTGGTTTGTGGTCACATTTTTCTAACCGAGACGAAGGATTAAATATTACTTAAACCTTGGCTACGACCCTAGCCTGTACATCGTTTGTTGTTCACCCCAACGCCCTGACTTACCAAAATAAATACTTTAACACTTTTTGGTTTCCTGCTCTCTAAATTATTGGTGCTTTCAGGTTTTCATGCTTCTGACCTTGAATTCCTCATTTAATACCACATGGACACTATTATTTTCAAACACAAACCTAAGATCAGACTTGCCGAGTAGGTAAAATATGTTTCCCTTGTCTTTAAACAAAGGTAATAAATGGATGACATTAATCTCAGGTATATGGCCCCAGATGATAATGTTCTACATTTCTCCTCAGCTCCTACCATTGACTCCGTGTTCATAGAGGCTCCAAAGTTAAACTCCAGCGCATCCAATGGAGGGTTCATCTTTCCAAATGGCTATTCTAAAACTGTAAGTTATACGGCTTATCTATATTGTTGTCACACGATTGATTGGCAACAGTACCTGATGTGGTTGTATTATCATCACATTGTTGTCATTGAGGGAATGATGTGAGTCTGATGCAGGACTGTAGCCAAGGCCGGATTAACCATATGGGCAACCTGGGCAAGTGCCCAGGGGCCCTTGAGCAAAGAGGGCCCTCAGTGACAAGATTTTTTTTTTTTTTTGGGCACAACCTCTCTCATCATACATTGTTTTAAATGACACTCACTCTTCGCCATAAATAACACAGCTTTTCCATAGGGTCAAATTACTGTAGGTCTCTGTACTGTAGGTCTCACTATGTATGCGCTCAACTTTATTACTACGCGGCGGCGGTGTGAAGCCGAATCACAGCCCCACCCTTGAGCAACTCACACAATTTCACTACATATTTTACTTGTGTAACTCTCGGTGTTTGTGACAAATAGNTAAATCTTAAAAGTCAGTTATACCGTACAGTTTAGCCGTGTGGAATAAACAGTTTTTCGTCCCTGACCTCGGTTGTATCCAACGTTGGTTACCATACAGATCGGAAAACCGCGAAAAGTCAGTTTTAAGTGGTTTGTTGTCTATGTATTACCTATTCTAGAGCTTTCTGTCACATAACGAGGTCTTACTCTGGGATGACCATTATAGTTAGTTTTTGGATGTCCTGTGTCGTTGGGTGAAATCGGTTCTTATAACACCGACCGAAACCAGTGTCTCATGGTGCTCCTCAAGAGTAAACAGTCGTTTTGTGCGGCTCACGAAATGTGTTCATTTATACATCCACCTTATTAACACACTCAACGAGTTCCCAAGACCCCCGTAAAGCCCTAAAGCCGAAGGTGGTGGCGGCGGGCGCACTCATACTTTCAACTCGCGGATTTTTTTTTTTTATAGTTCAATGTATCACCTTTTGGGATATGTCATGTTCTTGCTTATCGCGTATTAAAACCTGGGATACCTTTTTCGAATCACATTTTATAAATAATCCGCTTCTACTCTTACTAGTTTAAATTTGTTTGGTGTGCTTTATTGTAGGCGTGGTGTTACTTGTTGGTACGTGGGTTGGGGTCGGGGGCCCATGAGTGCTCAGTGCCCAGGGGCCCCTGGAGGTACTAATCCGGCCTTGACTGTAGCTACCAATGAGGGTCGTTGTATTCTACGTACGGAGTATTCTACCTGTTGTTGTTACACTTGGTGTTTTGTAAGGCTGATAAAGGTCTTATTTATAACCCAATAACTTTGAATCAGCACATTTTATTAACAGTGTAGAAGTATATAATTAATCAATCTATCTGCTATATATTTTCCTAATTAATGGATAAATTGTTTTGTCCTGTGTCAGAAAAGTTGTTAATTTCCCCCAATATAGTGTTCTTGTGACTCAGATGGCTTCTTCAAATTGCTTGTTTAACCAAACAAAACCAAAATATATTTAATTTACTATCCTATATGACATAGAAAAAGTCGCAAATCCTCACATTCTAAATACTGGAATGAGTTTGAAAAAGGCCCATTATAAACGACAAAATAGTGGCGGATTAATTGTTTTAACACATTGTCTGAATTATTTGACGCAGTTGAAAATTGGAAACGTAAAATCATTTTAGATTTAAAACAATAATAATTTAGTGAGTTGCATAAGGGAGTTTTTACTAAAGACATCAATATTAAACACATTCTGACCTGTAAATCAAAGTAAAACGATATATTTCGCCACTATTTTGTTCAACACAAGAAACGTACATGATAATTATCTTAATTTGCGGCCTAATAAGAATGGATTTGTTGTCAGCAGTTTTTTTTAAAGGATCTTCCCCAAAAACCTGTTTCCAAATCCTTCTAGACTATCTGTCTTCTCACACAAAAACATGCTCACCAGCCTCTCCCATGCCAGCCGATCTTGAAAACAACCTGCAAGGCTGCCATGTCACCAAAAAGTTGTTTCACAATTAAATGTTCTATTGGGGAGGCGTGTGGCGCAGTGGATAGAGTGTTGGTGCTCGGATCAAGGGAGCACAGGTTCAAACCCCACTGCATGTTATTTTGTCCCTGCGCAAGACACTTCACCCCAAATTGCTCCTCTGGGGATTGCGCACAGTATTGAGTAAGTCGCTTTGGATAAAAGCATCTAACATGTAATGTAATGTATTGCCAGCTAAATGTCAGTCACAAACACATTTAATTTGGTTCTGCAGCACAGCCGAGAACCAAACTTCAGCCTATATTCAGTCACCAACATAAAGGGAGCCAGTGTGAAGAGGACTACAGGCTCTACCTATCAACATGTGAGGTCTTTCGCCAGCGTCGGCTCCACTGCGCTGGGTCAAGCCAACACCAGCCACAGTGAGCCTGGAATGGCCTGGAATCGCTCCGTGCCAAAACGCTCTGCTCCTCCGCAGGGATTTCCTTCCAGCAGGGCAATCTACAGGGAGGAGAGAAGCAGCGGTCACTTTGTAAAGACCCCCACCTCCCCTCTGCAGTTTCAGCCCGTGTTCACCATGAATGGCACCGGTCAGACCAAATCAAGCAACCAGTTCCTGGGCAGCAAAGTTGAGGTGACCAAAACAGCTACTGACGGTCCTGCAGAGACCAAAGGAAATACGGGGTGAGTGAGATTAATAACTTCCACATTTTAGACTTAATCACATGTTTCAGTAAATACATTATACTGGCATGCTCTGTCTATTGAAATAACATTTAGATTGTATTTTAATATCTTTTAGGTCAGATACTGCTGACATCACTATGAAGGAGGCTGTGGAGTATCTCTCCAGTGCGGAGGAAACATATCAGCACTGTGGCGCTTCCTACATACAGCACAATACTTTCATTAACGAGAAGGCTAAAGAAGAGGTGTGTGACTTGTTCTCTTCATATCATGTTGACTGACATTTATTTTAATATGATACATGATACATGCTTGTCATTTGGTAACAGTGAGGGCTGTGGGATAAAATGTGTGATTTCCTGTGAGTCCCTCGTGGATCTGTAGTTTGATTCCAGCAGCACTAACAATTCAAATATTTCAAAAAGGAAGTTATAGGACGAAAAAACTTTAAATGGCTGTCCTCGGAAAAACATGGTTTGAATTCTATACAAATCTTATGGATCTTTTTTATTTGTTTTTCCTGTAGTGTGTTATAGGTTTGTGTGCATGTAAATGGCCTGCAAAGGCTGATATAACAGTGTTCACATCAGAGGCAGTTTCTCTCCCACAAATTATAATCCCTTTTATTTAATTGTGGCGAATTACCACTCTTTGAACAACAAAATCCCCTTTGCATCACAGGTGTTGAAGTTCAAAGGAATCCATCCTCTGGTGGATCTGCTGCGCAGCCATAGCTCATCGGTCAATGAGACGTCCTCTGCTGCCCTCCGTAACCTGTCCTTCAAAAGCATCAGCAACAAGGAGGAGATACATCGCTCAGGAGGCATCACAGAGGCTGTGGCTCTGCTCAGAGAGACAGACTCTGTGGAGACACAGACACAGCTGACAGGTATACGTTAACTCTGAAACCTATAGACCCACATACAGGTACACACACCTATCCATGCAAACAAGTCAAACATAGACACCTTTGTTGTGTATAACAACATAGACCTGTGTTAGATCCTGCTGTCATTCACTAAAGCTCTTCTTAAGTGCTGTCTTTCTGCCAAGTGTTGAAGGGTCATCAAAAAATGACATCGCTAATGTTTTAGTAACACTGATTTAGATGGAAATGTGTTAAATGGTTAAAGTTACATTAGACCGGTTTTAATCTCTTTGGCGATAAGCAGTAATTATTTTTGGATCTTTGCATCGGTGGCTAACTCACCATCGGGTTTCCAACATTGTGTCTGTTCAAGATTACCTTAAACTACGGTTGCATTCAAGCTGCCAAGACAAGTTTCAGGTGCAAGTTTCAACAGCTTTTACTGTTGTTAAAACGTTTGATAGGATAGTAAAGTGTTCACACACATTGAACCTACAAAATCAACATGCTGATGATTTAAATCTTCAACAGGCAGTACATGAATATTTGATTGACAGGTTTTCTTATGCATCTTATGCCTGATCTGAACTGGTTTTCTTTTTCTGTCTAGGTCTCCTGTGGAATTTGTCGTCTGTCGACAGCCTGAAGCCAGACCTGCTGAAGAGTGCTCTGCCTGTGCTAATGGAGCAAGTGATCCTGCCCTACACTAAAGGTCACGACAGGACCAACAGCAGCAGCCGAGACCCAGAGGTCTTCTTTAACGCCACTGCGTGTCTAAGGTGAGAACAAAACTCCAACTGAGCAGCTGATAACATGCCAGGGTTTTTGCTATGGCTCTTAGAAATATTATGTTTTTTTACCTATGTGTAGCTCAGCTCAGGATCAAAGAATATGACATCACGTTATATTTCATTAAGCTGAAAAGTCAACCTAAGCAACCTATAATTAGTGCATTAAACCATTAGCATACAAATTCAAAACAGCAATTATTTTGGCTTCAAATAAGGCAAGGCAAGTTTATTTATATAGCACCTTTCAACACAAGGCAATTCAAAGTGCTTTACAAACATGAAAGACATTAAGAAAATGGCATTTAAAATCAGACATTAAAATAGGATTATGAATACATTTATCAGCTCCTCGTAGGAAGATATAGGAAACAAGACGGATGTTTTATACCCACTGTTATACTGACCTGTGAGCGGTCCAACCAAAGAAAGGAAACAGGGTTAGAGTATCC